GTTATAAAATCCAAAGTAACGCTAGCAACAAGACACCCAGTTCGTTTACATCAGTAAAAATACGTGGTTTCGTTTTTTACTAATATATTACCGTATAAGTGGAAATTTTAGCGAGACGCAAATGTAGCGATTTGTCCTTAAAAACTGATAATTCATTTTTAGCGATATCCAATTTTAGCGATTTTAAAATGTTCACTAAAGAAGCTTTTACAAATAAAACACAATTTTTAGCGAAATTAAATTTTAGCGATCTCACCACCCTCGCTGATAATGCCAAAATTAAATCCTCGCTAAAATTTCTGCTTATACGGTATATGTATGTCGTTTATATAATACAAATGATATATCTGCTTTAACATCATCCTCGCAAACCACGGCCACTGGTTCCAAAAAGATAATGACATAAATAAACCATGTTTATTTAGATACCCGGTATACGTCTTCAAACACTTAAAAATTATTTTAAATATTCACTACTTTTTCATTTTATTAACAGCTTATACCTTTTCTTTCAGGTTGCTTTCAAGCGAAAGCAGTTTTTGGTGCCTTTAAGCGTAGAGTCAAAGTTGGCAGAGCAAGCAACCGAAAACAGTGCTACCGCAAATGCTTGAAGAGAATGAAAAAATTCAGCTATTATGCATTACAGGTAATTTTTTAATATATAATTTTATCCTAACAAAGCAATCGTTCATGGGAGAAAAATATCGTCTCTAGTTTATGCATTATGACTTTGTACAATCTTAGGATGAAGTTGATAGCCATGTGTTTTTAAGGTATTATTACATTGTTAAAACAGGAGAGAAAATAAATGTTAGAGTAATACATAGGGTAAAGAATGCAACATACAAGTATGTTTACGATATAAGATGAACACTATATTTTTACTTATGGCCAACATACGTTCATATGAATTTCTACCAAACTTGTTGACAATTTTTGTGTACAAATATTACAAAATATATACATGTACACTTAACTTAAAATAAAGAAGAAAAATACGAAAAACTCAAGTAAAGCTTTAGGCCTTTCATTCTATCTTCTGAAGCTTTATAACTAACTATATCTTTATTGCGGTGGGTGGGTTGGGGAAGAAATACGTTTTCAACAAACATTATTATGATTGTATACAAAGGTAGTTTAATGCTAAAATTTGTATCTATGAAGTAATGAACATATCTTTCATTGTCTTTCGTCAATCTAAATCTTCTCCAACTTTTAAGTTCAGAATGTTGGGGTATTTTTTTTCAGAATAAAACCAAGAAATGTACCTGCTTTAGACTACCTAAGGGGAATAAGTTAAGAAACTTATTCAAAAAGTTTGGGAAATTGGCGGGCAGAAAGCAACGACAGATATGTAAAAGGGCCTCAAATTTACGACTTTACAGTCGCTCCGAAACAGAAAAGAGGAGGAAAGGAGCTAGAAGGAAGATAAAGTCCAGAGGAAAGAAAGGAAGAAGGAGAGGTAACTTTAAGACCATTATTTTCAAAATTCTAACAAAAAGGGGACAAACGTATCCCTGTATGTGACTATACCAAATAGTTGTGAACAGACATACTTGACCTTTTTTTGTGTGGTGAATTTAAAATTCAGTATTTCTTGTTAATAGGCAAACCTATCACCTTCTGAGCTACTCATATTTTTTATTTAGTTCAGACACTTTTATGACAAGGTTCAACTTAATTTCACAGTACTGATAAAACCAAATCTGCCGTCTTTGATCGGAGAAATATGTGTATAAAGATCATACATGTACATGTATACTAGTATTTACATGTAAAAGCGTCCGGACATCTGAATGTCCACTGTATACGCAAACAACTCACAAGTTTGCTACGTGTAATTTATGGGGACAGACTAACAAATTATCAACTAAAAAGATTTGGGGTATTTGATAAATTTGCTGAATTGCTTGATATTATTTAGTATGTAATACAAAAACAAAAAGTTTACTATTGATTGTTGATCGGAAAACTCAAATTGATAAACACACTGAATTATATGGAAAAAAAATTAAACCGGGGATTAAGTTATAAAATCTAAAGTAACGCTAGCAACAAGACACCCAATTCGTTTACATCAGTAAAAAATACGTGGTTTCGTTTTTTTACTAATATATTACATGTATGTCGTTTATAAAATACAAATGATAGATCTGCTTTAGCATCATCCTCGCAAACCACGGCCACTAGTTTCAAAAAGATAGTGACATAAATAAACCATGTTTATTTAAATACCCGGTATACGTCTTCAAACACTTAAAAATTATTTAAATATTCACTACTTTTTCATTTAATTAACAGCTTACACCTTTTCTTTCAGGTTGCTTTCAAGCGAAAGCAGTCTTTGGTGCCTTTAAGCGCAAAGTCAAAGTTGGCAGAGTAAGCAACCGAAAACAGTGCTACCGCAAATGCTTGAAGAAAATGAAAAAATTCAGCTATTATGCAATACAGGTAATTTTTTTTTTTTTTACATATGACTTTCCATTAATCCAACAAAGCAATTGTTCATAGGAGAAAAATATGGTCTCTAGTTTATGTATTGCATGTATATCTTTGTACAATCTTAAGCTAAATTTGATAGCCATGTGCCTTTTTAGGTTATTATTACGTTGTTAAAACACGAGACAAAATGAAAGCTGTTAGAGTAATACACGTGTAAAGAATGCAATTATGTGTTTAGTTGTTTACAATATAAAATGAACACCATATCTAACTTATGACCAACTTATGTTCATATGAATCTCTACTCTACGAAAAGATTTTTGTTGATAGGATATGTTCAGCAAATTTTACATAAGCCGACCTATTCAACAGACATATACATCTTATTTGGGAATGGGTACGGTCGGGGAACATATGCTTATTCAATAAACATAATAATGATTTCATACAAGGGTTATTTAAGGCGAAAATTGGTATAAAGTATGAAACATATAATTCATTTTTAAAAGCTGTCTACTACTAATTGAATGGGAGTCTTTTGTCAATCTCTAACCTTGACAATACTTCTCGAACATGTAACTTCAGAATGTTGGGATATTTTTTTCAGAATAAAACAAAGAAATGTACCTGCTTTAGACTACCTAAGGCGAATAGGATAAGAAACTTATTTAGAAAGTTTAGGAAATTGGCGGGCATAAAACAACGACTGGTATGCAAAAAGGCCTCAAATGTTCGACTTTACAGTCGTTACGAAAGAAAAAAAGGGAAGAGAGGAAGAAGAAGAGGTAACTTTAAGAACCTTAAGACCTTCAAATTTATAACTATATATATATATATATATATATATATATATATATATATATATATATATATATATATATATATATTAAACTAAATCGACTGTCTTTGAATGGAGAAATATGCGTGTGATTATTATATATTTTTATATGTCCGCGTGTTGGAACATTAAATACATGTATGTTCAAATATAAATTTTACTATTTAACCTCATACGCAAGGTATAAGAAATAGAAATTACTGCTTTCAAATTTACCTGGATATGAATGAAAAAGGTGAAGGTAACGAGCAGTGATTGATCGCATTAAAAAAACACAAAGAAAACAAATCTGTGAACAGGGCGTAAACACGAACCCGCTGAATTTCCAGAGGTGGGATCAGGTGCCTAGAAGGATTAAGCATCCCTTGTTTCTCTGTCCTAGAGCGATGCCCTCGAGGACGCGGTTATGTGAAGACACGGACTGGATGCTATGCAGTGTTTCATCAGAAGTTCACTTGGCCAGAAGCAGCGGTATGTTACCTCACTATGTTCTTGGTCTAAAAAAGAAAGTTAGTTTAGATATTACTTTTTTCAAGGTGGATAAGATTAATCAATGATAGTTAATTTCATCCATGTGGGTCTAAATTCATTGATTTTTTTTTTCAATATATGTCAACAAACTAATATTAAAAAAAATATTGTATTAAAAAAAACAACAACCCTTAGATCTTCTGCTTCGTGGAAGGAGCACGTCTTGTTGAAATTCGAAATGGAAAAAAGAACAGAGATGTGGTGGCATTAGCAAAAAAGCGAAAACTAGGTATGTCTATAGATTTACATTTTAATGATGTGGATTTTATAAAGAATAGGTTTATGTTTGTCAGAAAGGACTTTGCATTTCATTTAGTTATTAATAAAATTCATTCTGGTATAAAAAAAAAAAGATATCGTTATTCTTAACCCCAAAAGCATATTTTCTGTAAATTCTTTAATCAGGTTGGTGGTTTTTAAAACTATTATTATTGAGTAAATCTGGCACTTTTTAGAAAAAGGCTTTATAAAATACTTATTTTTTAAGCCGGCAATATATGGATAGCAGCCAATGATATAATTCAAGAAAACGTCCTCCGATTCATCGGCACCAATCGAAATGTGCCTGGTTCTCTTAAGAAGGGAATAGGCAACAACAGAAGAAAGAACTGCGTCCAGCTCACCCCGGGCTCCAAGTGGAAGTCCGCCGACTGCAACCAGAGACGAGCATTTATATGCGAAAGGTTTGACTATATTTATATAAATGCTTCTTTAAAAAATATGATTGATGGAATATGGTTTCTGAGTGTCCATTCTTTTATGATAAGCTCTTGTTCACAGCTTAGAAAAGTGAAAGGCTAACAAAATATACAGGATAAAGGATACATCACTTTCTTACCTTCGTGTCTTCTTGTTTTCAAAAAACGTCATTTTTTTTAATACTCTCTGAATGCTATTCACATACACAGAATGGCGCTTTCTCACTTATATATCAAGGTTTCGGAGACATAATAAAACTCAAAATCATTTCTCTGCCTTTTATTTATGTTTTTTCACTCAAACAGATACTTGTAAAAGTCTTTGATGATTAAATCTCAAGATTTTTTTTTTAGAATGTTTACTATATCTACCATGTATGTTTATTCTTTAAACATAAACGTAAATGTAGCAGTGTAGATGATATTAATTTGTTTGATGCATGCATATCTTTAGACTGCATACTATTCCGTATCCTTATTTAAAAGATAAGGAACGAAGATTATGGTAATTATCAAAAAATTCAAATAAGTTTACAAGTACTATAATAAATAGTGAAAAATTTTGATACTTAATATACACACCATTCTTTGTATTTCTCTCTTCAGATACCCTCGACGATGGGAGTAGAAGGAACTTTGTCCGTTTGTTTGTGTTACTAATGCAATACATAATCCTAACATGGACTAAACTTTGATTATACTTTTATGCTCTTTGAATAGAAACAAATAAAAGAGGAGACGATACAGTTGATTGATCTTGTTTTTCGTAGTTTTTTCTTAAGTTTTTCTTGTCGGTGGTGATTTGCTTTTAATTATATACAATTATATGTAAGCCTCGGAAATTTACTCCGATTTTTTGCTTCTAACTTGTAAAGCTTCTCGGTTCTTTTCTAATTACACTTTACAAAACACATTTTCCATGTAAGTGGGTTTTCTTTGCTTAGATTATTTTATCTAAAGTGTGATTAGAAAAGAGCCAAGAAGCTTTATAAGAGAGAAGCAAAACTAGAAAATTTTAGCCAATGTTTTCCAGGGAAAAAAGTAGGTTAATGCCTTAGGAGTATAGGCTGTGGGGTAAAAAAAACCTCAGACGAGTTCTCTTTTGGTCTCAGTCTAATCTTTTACAAAAAGAGTTTGTTGTGGAAAATTGAGATTGAGATCAAAAGTAAGCTCCTGTAAGGTTTATGACCCTGGAGCCAGGTTGCATATCCATCCTGTCAGCAAATACAAGCTAGTCACATTCTGATGGACATTTTTCATACTAATTGTCATACCATTTATATCTACTGTGAGTATGTACTGAATTGTCGATGGATTTTCCCGATCATGACAAGGAGCACACACATACGGCGGGTGTGACCGTTTGGTAAGGGATGCTTTCTACCCTATGGTACCTGATCCCATCTCTTATGTTTTATAGCTCCATGTTTGCTCTGCCCCTGAACTGCATTGTTTAATGGATGTTTGAGCATGAATATTGTTCATTATCTCTGTATATTTCACTTCCAGTAAATGTAAACCTTCCCAGAACAAAACTTGCATAAATGACGCATGAAAGGGATGCACACTATCAGACTTTCTTGAGATGCTGATCTGATCTACAAAAATAAATAAATAAACAGATTTCACGATCAGCTGATCCCAGCTGAAAAGGGGGTTATAACTTTGTTTTTGTTTGAAAGGCTCAATATTTCGATTGTAAATTAGAACTGGAATTTAAATTCTTCATATGGAAATCCAACTTATACCGTAACTCCCTTTGTAAAGAAAAAAAATCTTCAAAATCATACGTCATCTTTTTTTAAAAAAAAACCATGTATTCCCAACAATCAAAATGAATTTGAATTACCATACCTTTACTAGATTTCTAAACGTCATAGAAATCCTTACAAATAAAAATTATGTATGAAGAGGGTTCAATTTGTCCAGAATCTTATACGTGAAAAAAAGAAAACACCTGTTGTGGTCTTCATCTTGATATTTAGATATATATAGAAGACGACGTATTGTCAATTAACAATTGGTATTTTGAACTAATTTCCATTCTTATGCCGACAGGATATATACCAGTGAGCTTGAGATAAAAGGTACCATAGAGTGTGACACATCTGTTTCATGTTTGGATATTTTACTTGAAAAAGACGTTAATGGTAATATAACAACCAAGCTCTGTGATAAACGTGATGACTTTCACTTTTCTATCGTCAACTTCCCTTACTTATGCAGCAATATACATGTACCTTCATCACCTGCATACGCAGTTTATATATCTCAGTTGATTCAATACGCAAGAACATTATCTACGTATGAACATTTTCTAAAACGAAGTACATTATTGACAAACATGTTGATGAAGCAAGAATAGCATCGGAGGAGTCTCATTAAAAGTCATCATTTCATAAGTTCTTTAGTCGATATCACGACCTTGTCAGTAAGTACAATTTATCATTGTGTCAAATGCTGACTGATGTTATTCATACGAATTGTTAGGCCATTATTTAAATACACTGAATTGACGACGGATTTTCCTGTTATTTTCCCGATCATGACAACGAAAACACGGCGGGTGTGACCGGTCGGCAGGAGATGCTCACTCCTCTGATCCATGGCACCTGATCAACATCTGAGGTTTTGGTAGGTTCGTGTTAGCTCTGCTCCTATTTTGTATTGTTTTATGGATTTTTTTTATCTTAAATACTGTTCATCATCTCCATACGTTTCATTCCATATAATCAAACCCCTTTGATCCATACTAAAATATTAACAGCAGTGAAAGGAAACTTCAGGTGTATTCTACAACAATATACTAGTATTCAAGAAGTGTTTGAATGGACTTGTGAGCTTGAAATATGCTCACAACCCATTAATGTTAAAAACATTCGGATTGAACACACATTGAGTTTCTGATTGACAATATCTATGTGGTTTTTGGAGACCAGGTCTTTCAACGATCTACTGGAATTTACGTGGGCACCAATTACGTCCAATTATTAAAATACCTATTCTTGTATTCATAGCAAAAACAAAAGCAGAATATGTTAAAAATCTTATAGGGCCTATGTATGAAAAAGAAAACACTTGCTGTATTGTCAATTAACAATGCTTATTTCGGTTCTTATATGTCGATACCATTAGGCTATTTGAATATTTTACTAGAAAAAGACGTTTATATGATAATCTAACAACAAAGCTTTATGATAAACTTGATGACTTTTTCTTTTCAATCGTCGACCCCCCCCCCCCTTACTTATGCCGCAATGTACACGTACCTTCATCACCTAATCACCTAATCACCTATCATCCATACTATCTGCATGCAAGTCTGATTGTGTAGAAGATGAAATGCATTTTTTATTTGATTGTTCAGCATATCAGGACTTTCGAAAAACATTTTTAAAGACCATAAATACGTTCTGTAAGAATTTATCAAGTTTATAGATCTAAAAGAAACAAGTTTATATGGCTTATGAGTAATGAAAATGATAATGTTATCACAATTTTTTTCCCCAAATTTCATTCATAAGTGTTTTAAAAGAAGAGAAGTTGATTTATCATGAGAAATATGTGTTAGAAATTTGCTTTTGTATGCCCTAATTCTGGGCCCAAAATTGAAAATACTTACTTACTCACCCATAGGCGTCGGAACCGGGGGGCTTACATTATATAGGCACTGAGTAGTATAAGCATCCTGGATGGGTGGGTCAACTGAGTGCAGCCCCTGTGGGGGGATAGGTGGGTCAACGGAGTGCAGCCTCTGGAGGGGATAGCCGGGTCAATTCAGTACATATGTTGCATCATCTTTTAGATATCTATTGCATCATCTTTTTGATACCTGTTGCATCATCTTTTTAGATCTATTGCATCATCTTTTTTGATACCTGTTGCATCATCTTTCAAACTGGATTTCCTCAAAACATTAACAAATAACACACAAGACCAAAACAAAAGAACACAGCAATTTTATTCAAGTGAAAAAAATACATTTACATTTACTTTTTCTTCTTCTGTGCCTTATCAGTGGTCAGGGGTAGTTTCCTCTTGGGTTCCTGAGGCTTTTTCTCCATTTTTTGTATTTCTTTGATAATTGTTGATCCTCCTCATCCTCTGTACACTGATTAGCCCAATGACCAGTCCCGCACTTGTAGCACAAATCCTGTTTTTTTGGGACAATCTGGGGCCCAATGCCCTAACTCTTTGCAGATATAGCATGGATTTCTGTCTTGTTTTCTTATTCTCTCCGGATCCCCCTTGTTTTTTCTGGTAAGTGCTTCCTCCTTTCATTTTAGTGATGTAAATTTTCAGATGATTCAGCTGGTTTTGAACATCACTCACCTTGTTGTTCATATCATTCATCTTGTTGTCAATACCAGACAGCATGTTAACAATTCCATCCACAGTTGTATTCAAGATGCCCATATCTTCTTTATTCGCATATTCTTGAAAATTATAGGGGGCTCCTACATATTCTTCAGGTGTCACATAGCTGGGGTTGTGTGGGGTATTCATCATTGCTTCTTCCATAATATTTTTCACGTCTGTCAAGTTTCGAAATGTCAAGCAAGACTGATCTTCAAATCCCAGCTCCGCTTTATATACCTATCTGTTGCATCATCTTTTTTATACTTGTTGCATATCTCTTGCATAATCTTTTTAATATATCTGTTGCATCATCTTTTTATATCTGTTGCATCATCTTTTTGATATCTGTTGCATCATCTTTTTATACCTGTTGCATCATCTTATTGCATCATCTTTTTTATACCTGTTGCATCATCTGTAAGGACCTTGTGCAAAAAATATGCTTACCTATGCATTGTGACGTCATCCACT